AGCTCTGACTGGAGGAGAGGAGCATCCCGCACTGACAGGCCGGGAGCCACAGGGGGCGCTGTGTTGCGGAGCCCTGTCTGACTAATCCCAGCCTCCCTCGGCAGCACTCAGCCAGTTGAGCATTCCGTGGGGAATCCCAGTCACAGTCTGCTAGTAACGCAGCCCCACCTCAAACCCGGGGTCACAGAGCTCAGCCTGCACTCAGGTGAGCTCCTTTACTGGTTGAGCCACTTGGGACTACCCAGAATCTTAATGTTGAACCAACATGCACTCATAGGATAATGGAACAGGAACCCACCGGAGGGACCAACAACGTCTCAGAATGGAGCGTGGGACAGACTGTCCGCCTCCTCCGCTGAGAGCGGTCCTGCTGCAGCACTGGGCCATGTGGGACATGAGGCCCTGGCATCCTCAATACACTCATGTATACAGTCACTCAAGCGCCTGGCCTGCTACTGCCACTGCAACCCAAGAGCACAGGGTGTGGCTTTGGACCAGTTCAAGGCAGTCAATCTGACCTGCGTGCCTCCTGTGTTGTACTCGCTTGTCGGATGTACTTCCTGTTGTAAGAGTGGCATGGGGCCGGGAGTGAACAGGGATGAATCTGAACAGTGGATTGTGTTTCCCCTGGGTCTGCATAATCACGGGATCATTTCATTCAGCCACTCCAGCAGCAGCAGCAATTCGGAGTGCTTTTCTGCCACTGGTGAAGGACAGCAGGCTGACACTCCTGCTGCTAAAAACTCCATTTCGGTCACAAAAGCCTCATGCTGATTTAATCACGGCACTAAACCTGCTGGCCTCCCAGTTATTCCAGGCACTCAGTGTCTAAACGGGGGCAGCTGCCATCAGCTGTGTTTTGATTTTATTGAGGCGGCTGCCACTTGACAAACATCCTGTTCCTGTGTCTTTCATGGAGTCGAGATGGTCAATATGGGACAAGTGCAGATTCCTGGAGCCACCTGCACCTGCTGCTCTGCCCAGAGTGCGTCTTTGCGTCTGTGCGTCTGTGCGTCTGTGCGTCTGTGCGTCTGTGCGTCTGTGCGTCTGTGCGTCTGTGCGTCTGTGCGTCTGTGCGTCTGTGCGTCT